TGCGAAACTCATTCCAGCTTCATGTTTTCTTCTTGAAGCTATAATGGATGTTATAAATTTAAGATACTTGTACTTTTGTGAAGGTGGTGTCCGACAAGGAAAATGTTTTGATATGATGTCTCAATCAGAACGTATGAAGGATCCACTTGATACCTTTATTTCATCTAATTCACTACATCCAAAATATATCACAAATCAATATCGAAACAAATTCGTGGGTATAATGAAAGCTGCTTTGCCTCCAGTTTTTTATGATGTACTTGATTCTGACGATTTAGGGTCCGAGACTACGAAGAAAAAACCACAACGACTTGAACGTTTATTACCAAGTTTGGCTTATCTTGCCCATTGGTCAATGCATCTAGCTAAAGAATCTCGTCCTATTTACGCATTTTACTTGTCACTTTCCGGTGGTCCTTTATGTAATGCTCCTGGAATAACGCACGTAGATAGGGCAATTATGGCGTGGTGTTTAATGTATCGACATTACGATGATGCAAGTGGTGACGTTGAGGATGATGTGAGCAACATGGCCTCTGAAATGTTTTATGGTGTCAAGAAAATGATTCCAGGTGGGAAGGATGGAAGAAAAGTATGTGAGGTTATTGGAAAGTTTTTAGGATTTGTGGCGTTGTGTCATCCATTTGATGCTAAACAAAATGAAGACTCAGAATTAGTAGGATTTGATAAAATGTCGATTAATGATGAATCATTGATTCAGTTTAAAACTTCTGAAGATCGTGATGCTAAGGTCGGAAATAAAACATATAATATTGAATTGAATTTAAAGACCAAAATGGAAATGTGTACTGGGCAGTCATTATCTCAAAGATCAATCCTCATCAATAATCCAATCGTCATAAAAGCTTGTAAGAAGCTTGAAAAGAGTTTTTCATTGGGAAAAAAGAAAGATGCTAAAAAGGATAAAAAAAATGGGTATCATAAATCAGATATTCATATAAATGTCTTGCTTTAGCATAATCTAGCATGTATTTTCGAAATGATGGTTTACTAGATAGAAAATTTAGTGAACAAATGTAAACAGATTATTTTCAATAAATTTAAATTTTCTCTTTTAAACTGCCTAGTACAGTCGACATTTTCTAAGTGAACCCGTGATATTAAATATAGTTTATAATTAGAATAATTATAAATTTTAAAGTTTTGGTTCATACAGTATATTGCGTAAAAAGTTTTTGGTAGTTCGAGTTTACCGGTATTAATTAATAATAAATATCACATAAATATTACATTTACTTCACTTATATCTGTCTATTCTAAATATACGTGATAAAATATTTCGTGTACGTTTATTAATTTGCAAGGTTCTTTATGGGAGGTTTTTTTTTTAGTTTAGTTCGAGAAACATTTACCGATCAAACGAACTTCTGACTGTGCCATGCCCAACTGTTTTAATAAAAGCATTTTTTTAATAACCTTAATTATCCGGCACCTTATAACTCGAGTTATTTTGATGATGATTCATAATTATCAAATAACGGAGCATTTTATGATGACGTAATCATCATCAAAAGAAGCACCCAGAAATGTGTACCAGGTGGGGATCGGATGATCGTTCGGATGACTATTTTTTTTCTAACGATAAAACTATTCTTCAATTAAATAGCGATCATATAAACGTAATTTACAATGTATATACAACACATAGAAATAATACAAATAATTTGAAGTTGAAAAACATAGAAATAATACAAATAATTTGGAGTTTGACATTCTAAAAATGCAGTATAACACTAGTTCATTTCTATTTAATCATTGTCTGGCTATTTGGTTGGTTTTTTTGTGACATTCTTCAATAAATTATGTACAGTCTACCCTGGATATAATGAACTCAAAATTTTGGTATTTCATAATAGTTTGGTATAGAAAGTGCCATGTGTTTTTAATAAAATTTAGTAATTTTCAGAATCTTTTCTTTATAGAAAGAGTTGACTGCACTTTTTTTGTGATTAATCTTTTATTATACTTCTTCATTTTAGATTAATATTTTCTTTTGTACACGAATTTTTTTAAATTGATGCGGCAGAACTCTAATTTTTGTCCTATTTCGACTGCGATAAAGGATCTTGTCAAAATAGATAAAGCACTAACTTGCCCATCGTTAAAAGATTTAGATTTTTTATATCCTTTTTCGAAATATTCCAGAAGTTAGTTAATATCACCAATAATACGCTTAAAAAAACCTTTTTAGCAGGCATTATATGCTTATTTAGATCTTGTCGCTATGTAATTTTTAAATAAATTTTGAATTATTATGAATCAAATACAAATCAATTTCAATATTATCTTTAAACGGCTGAACATTGCAATTTTCAACCTGATACTTCTAAGCTAACGGAAATATTTGCTGAAGTGGCATAGGTAGGTTCGATATATTCAAAGTTTATTTAGGTTTCAATTTGATAGTTTCTTGTAATTAACGAAATAATAACTGCTCACAAAAATCGTGTCTGTGTCTTTTTTTTTTTTTTTT